GTGTGCGGAGCCATAGCTTTGGTCTCTGAGAGCTCACAGTCACACTCCCATGGTAGAGACAGTTGAACCACGACTGTGCCTAGAAAAGTCAAAGGCTACTCTCAGAGGGCCGATGTTCCCCCACACTGTTCCCATTCCCTTTCTTCTCTCCACACACAGGCTGAGCTCCCCATGCCTGGCAGAGAATGGGCCTGTGTCAGGTTGTCTGGCATGTGCATAGCATGTCTGCAAGTCTGTGGCAAGGGAAAATACAGAGTGTTAGTGTGTGTGTTGGCCTGGTCTCAGCTCCCTACCAGCTTCATCCCAGAGTCATTTTGCTTTGTGACTGGAGTCATCCCCCCAGCTCCTCCCCTTCTTGTGTTTATACAGTTTAGGTCCCAGCTGGGGTCACCAAACTGACCTCTCAGGGATAAGCAGGCCTCGGCCTCCTAACAGACCCGGCTTTTCTAAAGTTTTTTAGTTTCACACCTCTCTTGTTCCTCCAAAGGATGTGGTAGAAGAACCAGAGGGCCAGTAGTCAGTAGATGAGGACCAAGACCCCAGAGGCCTGGGCCTATGTCAAAGCAGTTAAGCTTCTCTCTTCCCCTGCCCATGTCTGCACCCTCAGGACTGCCCTGGGATTTTGGTTAAGGTCAAAATCCAGTGTGACCCCACTGAAGATTACCCTGTACCCTGCCCTGAGATAGGGCTCCAAACACCCTTGCTCCCATCTTCTTTGATACAAGTGAAGGCAGCTGGGCTCAAAGAGGGATAGATATTCAACCAGGCTCCAGATTGGCCATCTTTACCAGAGACCCTAACTCCAACACCCGTCCCTGTACAGCCACTTCCCAGTCATCAGATGTTTAATCAATGACCATCATTAGTTGATAAATGACAGTCCTAGAAAAGGCAGATCCTTCAGACAAGGCATGGGTTTATTTTATTTTTATTTTTTTTAAGATTTATTTATTTATGATAGACATAGAGAGAGAGAGAGAGAGGCAAAGACACAGGAGGAGGGAGAAGCAGGCCCATGCCGGGAGCCTGACGTGGGACTCGATCCCGGGACTCCAGGATTGCACCCTGGGCCAAAGGCAGACCATAAACCGCTGAGCCACCCAGGGATCCCCAAGGCATGGGTTTAAATCTAAGTTTTGCTACTTTGTAACCCCAAGCAAAGGGGTTACTGAGGATTAAGTAAGCATATGCTAGGAAAGCAATGGGACACATAGGAAGCACTCTGAAAGATGTGGGTTACAACTGTTATTACTGGTACCTACTTAGGGCCAGGCTTTTTAGGCACAAGGCAATAGGACATTCCCCCTTTCACTCAGAGTCTTCATGGGTGGTGGTAGTGAGAGGACAAGGGGACAGATGAGCAAATAAGAACTGTTTATTTTTTGTTTTTTGTTTTTTAAGATTTTATTTATTTATTCATGAGAGACAGAGAGAGAGAGGCAGAGACACAGGCAGAGGGAGAAGCAGGCCCCATGCAGGGAGCCCGATGTAGGACTCAATCCCAGGTCTCCAGGATCACACCCGCGGCTGAAGGTGGTGCTAAACCACTGAGCCACCCGGGCTGCCCTAAGAACTGTTTCTGTGCAGTGTGGTCACTGTGTCCATAGGAGGGGACAGTGAGGGGCTCCAAAGCCAGGCCACAGAGTACAGCTATTCTGCACATGCACTGCAGGAAAGGACCTGGCAGAGCTAGGTCTCTGAAGCACAGTCCACGACCTGCTACTAATGGGTGTACCTAATATGGGGCACCTCGCCGGTTGGGTCAAAAGAGCATGCTACTCTTGATTGCCAAGTTGTGAGTTCCAGCCCCGTGCTGGGTGTAGAGATCATGAAAAAAAAAAAAAAAAAAACCAAAAAAGGCTAGTGGTAGCCCTGTCAATACAGGCCAAACTGAGGCTGGGAATGGAAGTCAAAGAAGTAGAAGGTAACACGTGCTCTTGGTCTTCAGTGAGGAGTTCTACCGTTGCTGGGTGGTGTTGGTCAGCAGGGCCCAGGGTTTGCAGGCAGGAATAGGGCTGATTAGGGAAGTCAGGCTGGGATGGGGAAAGGGCTGGAGCAGAGCCTTATGGGTTCTGAGGATTCACTACTGGGAATGAATGATGCAGGTAATTCCCAGGGCAGATTAATATGTGAGAAGCTTTACTAGGAGGGCAAATCTCCTCAGGGGTTAGGAGAACAACTTCGGTGCCAGTCTCCTGTAAATTTCCTCATCTGACAAGTGGGGATGGTACTACTGCTGAGGCTGAGGTTAAGGATGAAATGACCTAATCTACGTTAGCTGTTTAGCCTGATGCCCCGCTCAGGGTAGGGCTTCATAAACACTAGGTATAGATATTATAACCAGGATCCAGGGGAGCAGAATCCAGGGTCCTGGACTGACACACTTCTACCCAGAATATAGGGAAGGTGGGTGCAGGGCGCCCCTCTCCCTGCCAAGGTGCTGGAGATTTAAGAAATCTCATAGCCGAATCTAAGCTGATTGGTCAAGTAATACTGTGAAACTTAGATATTCCTTTTTGGAGGCAATGAGAGGAAAGAATAGTGAACCAGAGTGGCTTTAGTTCTTGTGGAAAGGGTCTGGGGTGAGGACGATCTCCCCCAAAGCCAGACCTACCAGCAATCTTTCCTGGATGTCCCCACTTGTCTCATTTGTTATGGAGAGAGTTCTATGTGGATGGCTCGCACTGTGGTGTTTCCTATTCATGTTGTATTTGCCGTATGGACAATTCTGCCCCTCTCCTTTCTGGTTCCTACCTGGGTTGAACAGGTGAGGGTTTCTCTGTAGTTAATTTCCAGGAGAAGGGGAAGGCTCCAAGATCCAACCTCTAAACTGGGCCTAGCATATGCCTTGCCCAAGGTCACCATTGGGATCATTTGGTTCATCTCCATTGCAGCCTGCAGCCCCTTTCCCTCCTGGCTTGGGAGGTGGTGGTGGGGCGGGGGGGATAGGGGGCTGCAGATGTCTAAAAAAAAATCACCAAAAAGGGAGATAATTGATAGTAATTCCCTTTGGCAGAGCTACTACCCACTCTCCCCCATGAATCTCAGCATAAAGCTTTTTGGGGGGTGTGTAAAACCTGATTCTGCACTGACCCTACACTCTAGAAGCCCTGCAGGATTGAGTTTCATTTCTTTGCTCCTTCTCCTCTGAGGCCTGCTGCTAACTCCTGGGGAATACGTCTCCCCTCACAATTAGTGCTCAGCTTCCCCAGAAAGGTAGTAGAGGTGAGCTAAGTACTTGGAAACCCTGGAGCCTCTAGACCTGGGACCCTGCCTTCTGTTTCCTTATATGGTCAATGCCCAGTACAGTACCTGACACTCAGCATGGGGCCCAGAATGTCTTTCTTTAAGCAGTTTATGGGTGATAATCTGGAGGTGTTCAGTTGTCTTAAAACTGGGTTCCTATAGCAAGTACCTTGGTTTTACTCACATGGTATGTTTATTTGGGGTGGCTTTGAGGAAGGATGCTGGAGAAAAAAGGGGAGAGGAGTGGAGAGGAGAAGACAGGAGGGGTTAAATACCTCCCTTTGGAGCCATTCTTGGCATTTAGTTAAGGGAGGACACTTCTCAGCATTTGTGGAAGCGAGGTGGTGTCCATGATGCCTGCAGAGAGGCCACTGCCTGTGGCTTGGAGGTCAGGATGAGTAGAGAAGCAACACATTTCAGATGAACTCTGCCCTTTGACACCTCCCTAACTCCCCTATGCCTGGCTAGTTCAAGGTCCCAAGACCACATTACATTAGAAGGCTTGGAGAATGGGCACCAGAGGCTGCTCCCAGAAGACCCAGGCCCCAAAGGCCCTCTCCAGCCTTTGAGACAGGCTGGCCACACAGAGGAAGAGAGGAAACAGTGAGGTGGGAGCTGGTTTCAGTTCTCCCACCAAGGCCGTGCCTGTGGCTGGAGGCACCCAGTAGAGGCAGTTAACTCCCTGTTATCTGGGCCAGAATCAATTTGGGACTGTACATTTAACCCTAGACAGACTTCCCCAGCCGCCCTGCTCCTCCCCCATTAGGGTCTCCAGTCTGTTTCTTCTGCCTGGAGGAAACATAAACCCACCCTACCGATTCCACAGAATCAGAGAAACTTCCCACTTTGGGATTATCTGCAGTTTGGGATTATATGAGCCCGGGGCTTGCTCTGTGGGTCCCTGAGGTGACGAGAAAACATCTGCAGCTTTAGGATTAGCCCAAACTGGGCAGATGGAGGGGATAGTGAGTGAGGGCAAGGACATCCGGGCGCAAATCTGTACCCACTGGGCTTTTGTTCTCTTTCAATCAGTTTCTACTGAGTGCTGCTCTGTGCCAGGCACTGTTTCAGGCTCCGAGCCGAGTCTCTAGGCCACGGTCTCACGGAACTACAGTGTAGTTGCCTTAGCCCCAAGAGTCAGGGCTTGGGCTGGTGCGGGCGTAGGAGACAAAATGTCCCGTCTCAGATCGGTTTTCTCATTTGTAAAATGGGGGCAGGTATCTCTGCCCCTTCTCTCCTGGAGCACTAGAGCCCACTGAGTCCCGGAAAGCGTTCGGGAAGGGTGGGGTCTTTGAACCGAGCGTCGCTCCAAGTGCCCAAGGCTAGGAGTTGCAGGTCCCTCGCGCACCTGAGCTGAGGGGCGCGGCCAAACCCTCCCTCCCGGTCCCTGTCGCTTCCGGCCCGCGGAAGGGAAGGGGCAGAGAGACGGCGGGTTTCGCCGTAAGGTAGGCTGCCAAGCCCACGCATCCCTCACAAAATGGGGAAGGTCCTCTTATTTTTTGTAAAGTTGCGGAAAAAAGAGATGAAGACGGGGCGCGCTGGGGGAGCTGAGCCCGGGCCGACCTGGTCGGAGCGCGGGGAGCTCGAGGCGCAGTGGCTGCGGCTCCGGCCTCAGAGCCTGCGGCGTCCAAGTGGCCAGAGCAGCGCTGGGAGGGAGGCGGAGGGAGGAGGGAGGGGAGGCGAGGTGGGGGGGGGAGGAGGGAGCGCGGAGTCCGGTCCGGGTTTTGCCGGCAGCCCCCGGGCAGCGTTCAGAGCTCCTGCCCGGGCGGGCGCGCGGCGGCGGCGGCGGCGGCGGCGGCAGAGGCGGCGGAGCCTGAGCGGCGATGTAGAGGCGGCGGCAGTGGCGGCGGCAGAGGCGGTGGCGGCGAGAGCAGGCGCCCGAGCCGAGCGAGTGGAGCGGCCGAACCTTGCCCCCCGAAGCCGGGCCCCGCGTCCCAGCCCTGCCCAGCCCGCGCCCGGCCATGCGCGCCGCCTGCTGAGTCCGGACGCCTCACGCTGCGCTCTCCGCCCGCCGCGCCGCGCTTCGCTCGGGGGTGATTAGTTGCTTTTTGTTGTTTTTTAATTTGGGCCGCGGGGAGGGGGAGGAGGGGCAGGTGCTGCGGGCTCCCCCCCCTCCCCGCCTCGGGCCAGCCGCGGCGGCGTGACTCCGGCTCCGGACCCGGGCAAGGCAGGCGGCGCGGCTGGAGCGGAGCGCACCGCGGCGGTGGTGCCCAGAGCGGAGCGCAGCTCCCCGCCCCACCCCTCCCCCTCGGCCTCGCGGCGGCGGCGGCGGCGGCCGTGGCGGCTTGGAGGACTCCTGAGAGCCGGTAGGTGTCGGGCCACGGCCCTCCCCCGACCCCCCCGAGGCCGGCCCCCTCCCCTTCCCCGCCTACCTCCCTCTCCTCCCCCGGGGCCCGGTGCGCGGCCGGGGCCGGAGTTCGCTGCAAGTCGGCGGAAAGTTTGGCGGCGCGGGCTCCCCCGAAGTTCAGGTGCGGAGAGCCAGGGACCGGGAAGGAGGGGTCCGTGTCTGGGAGGGGCGGGGGGCGCCCGCAGCCGGAGCCACGGAGCCCTGGACCCTGGGAGCCCCAGCGCCGGTGACGGCTTGGTGGCCGCTGCTGTGCCCGAGCCTCCCCAAGCCGCAGTCGGCTCGGTCGCAGATCACTGAGTACAGACAAAAAGAGGGGTTTTAGGGTCGGGGACTGCGGGTTGGGCGCCGTGCGTTGGGGCCGAGGCTCTCCCTGCGGGGTACCGTCCCCTCCCCGAGCACTCGAGCTTGAGGGCGCTGGGGCGGCGGGAGCCCGGGTCCTCACCTCTTGGTGCCGGGCGGGCGCTCCGCCCGCGGGGGCGGCTGATTGGAGATCTGCGGCGCACACTCCCCCGGCAGACCCCTCGCAGCCCGGTGTTTTGGGGGCTACGGTAGCTGCTGCCCTGGCCCACGCGTGTCTGAGTCCTCCCCCACGCGCACACTTGGAGGGGGCGGCGGCCACTTCTACATTTCCCCTCCGGTTCCTCGCCTCCGCTGCCCGCGGGGTGCCTGGCGGGCTGATCAAGTTTGACCTTTTTTTTTTTTTTTTTTTTCCGTCAAAGTCTCACCCCCACCACCACCTCCGCTCCCCGCGGCCTCCCTTTCCCGTCCTCCCCAGCCTCGGGGAGTCTTTCGGGCTGTCCTCCGAGCCCCGCGTGGCCGAGAGGCGTGCAAAGCCGAGGAGGGAGATGGGGGTGTTCCTCTAGCTGCCAAGTGTGGGAGGCGGGTGTCCCAGGCGCCTGCCTCGACGCTCTCTGGCCCCAAATTCACCCACGAAGTTCGGCCCCAAGCCTCCCTCCCCTTTGCTTCCCTAGAGCGAGGGGCTGACCCGCCGCGAGAAGAATGTGTTAATTTTCTTGCTGGGGGAAGTTGTCCTCTCCCGGAACGGGCTGCTTTCCGGCGGGGAGCGCGGGGTGCGCCTGGCTTTGTTTATTTGTAGGATCGGCAGAAAGTGAGTGACCCCAGCTTTTAAATGGGGGGGGGTGCCTCTGGGACCTGTCAGAAGAGCTGAAGCGACCAATGAGGGAGCAAGATAGCTCTTCTTTTTTCTTTTTTCCCGCTCGGAAGGGGTGCGCGGAGTTGGGCTGGTGCCATGGGCTGCAAGGAGGCAGCAGCAGATTTGGGGCGGGGGTGCTCTGTAGAGACTCCTCGGAAAGACCCACGCCTTCCTTTTTCTCCTGAGACGGGGGTCTGAAGGGCTGGCAGCCGCGCCTTCCGTTGCCCCCTGGATCCTGGGTGGTCTTCGAGTCGCATCTTCGTGCTGGGGGGAGAGCGGCACCGGGATCCCACTGGCCAGCCTCTTGACCGCCGCCTTTCCCCGAGCAGCGGGCGCCGCTCGGAGTCCGGGGTTTGTGGTGGGCCCAGCCCCCCCCCCCCCCCGACGCGTTTGCTCAGGAAACGCTGGGGAGGGGGGCTCGTGTGACCGTTCGGCCCTCTCCCCCGCCGGAGCCGCCCCGGGCGGCTGGCAAACAGAGTCCCTTTCAAGTTTTCCGCTGGGGCCGCCTGGCGGGGGCTGCGCGCGCGGGCGCTGCGGACTTGTTTGGAGCGCTGTTTGAACGCCCGGCGCCACCTCAGCTGCCCCGGCCCGGCCCGGCCCGCGGGGGCGGGGGTGTTCTTCCTTCAGCTAAGAGCATTTGAATTAGACGTTTTTTACGGGTCGTAGTGGCCTAAGCGTGACGTGACCCTCCCGAAAGACCCCGAGTTCTGGGCCCCAACAGCCGCAGGCAACCTAGGAACTGGTACCCGAAGCCTCCTCCCAAGCCCCTTTTTGAGAGCGATGAGGGGAGCTGAAGTCGGTGCTACCTACTACTGCGTAGTGTTGATTTAGCAGTTTCCCTGGATGAGACTCAAGCAAGAGCTGGGGGGGGGGGGGCGGGTAGTGGCCCGCTCTGCAGCTGTCACCCCCCTCCCAGAACGGAAATCGTTCTCTCCTTGGGAAGGAGGGGGGGGTGATTTTTGTCCTGGGAAGGAGTGGGAACAGCTGAGGAAAGGTTGGCCTCTTGAGTTCTGGGTCAGCCCTGGGGAGGTTGGTAGGAGCACCCCCACCTCATCTTGGCCTGAGTTGGGGCTCTCCCAGGGAAGCCCCTAGCCAGCCTTGTGGCTCCTGGTCCCAAGCCACCTCCCTTTTCAAGGTGGGGGCAGAAGAAAAAAAAAAAGGTGGGGGCAGAGGTTCCTCTGCTGAAGACAGACCCTTGTCTGGCTGTCCGTTGGTGCCTTATTTATGTGTGTATTTGGGCCGGCTGTTTTCCCGGCTCAGCAGGTGACCCTGGCCTGGGCCTCCTATCTCTCCTCCGACAGAGCCTGTTGACTTACCCGTGGGCCAGCGGCCTCGTCTTTATCACGTGAGGCCTGGAATGTCCACCCGGCTGGGCTGGGCAGGCTGGGGGAAGGGAGAAGGAGGGGAGGATTCTGCATCCAGGGCCCTGGCCAGCCCAGGCCTCTGTTCCATGGGATCCCACTGTGAGCCCCAAGTCTTAATGCCTTTCCCCTTTTTCCCTGCCTTCTACCCATTTGGCAAATGTGAATCTGAGGCTGATAGGAGTGTGGCCGGCAGGGTTGTATCTGGTTAAAGAACCAAGTCTCTGGGAATTAAATACCCCACCTTCTTTAGGGCCCCACCTGATTATTTATGGAAGAGTAGAATGGAAATGGGGGTCTCTTTAGGGGGTAGGGATGTGGCTGGGCTGAGGTCAGCTGATTTAGGATGCAAGATAGGGTGGAGGAATGAGAGGGTGTACTGGATGAGCCAGACTCAGGCCTGCCCCCTGTTTGGTGGGGTGACCATTAAGGCAGAGCTAACTCCCCAAGTCATGGTGCATGGCCTTACTGGTCAGCGATGGGGCAGGGCTCACTTATTGTTACTACTCTTATTATTACTGTCTGTTCTTTGTATGTAAATAACTTTATTTATTTATCTATTTTTTTTAAGATTTTATTTATTCATGAGAGAGAGAGAGAGAGAGAGGCAGAGACACGGGCAGAGGGAGAAGCACGCTCCATGCAGGGAGCCTGATGTGGGACTCAATCCCGGGACTCCAGGATCATGCCCCGAACCGCTGAGCCACCCAGGGGTTCCCCCCCCTTTTTTTAAAGATTTATTTATTTATTTATTCATGAGAGACACACACAGAGAGAGAGGCAAAGACATAGGCAGAGGGAGAAGCAGGCTCCATACAGGGAGCCCGATATGGGACTTGATCCTAGAACTCCGGGATCACGCCCCGAGCCAAAGGCAGCTGCTTAACCACTGAGCCACCCAGGCATCCCGTATGTAAATAACTTATTCATTCATTGCCCCAGTATGTATTTTTGAGCACCTACTGTGTGTCTAGTGCCACCTTTCTGGAGCTGCTGAAATGAATCACTGACTCTGCCCCTACTCTGGAGGCAGGCCCAGAGCAGAAGCTCCTCCCTCTTTCCTCACCCCCTGGGACCCGAATTGGGGCTTCCCCCCCTTTATTCTGGTGCTCTCCCGCCCTGATCCCCACCACCTGGTGCTGTCTTAGCCTGTATATGTGTGCCTGTGTGTGTGAAGTGTCCTTGATTAAGTGTATTAATAGTTAAACTCTCACTCATAGCTGGAACTCACCAGACCACAAAAAGCCTCCCCAGTTACTCACGCGCTACTGCCCAACAAGAATATCCCACTCAAGTTTTTTTTTTTTTTCCTTTCTCTTACTTTCCCCTTCATTCCCCCCAACTCTGAGCCCACCTCCCAGGCTACAGGCAATGAGAAAGGGCTGGCCCCCTCAAAGACCCAGGAATCCCCCAACCAGTCCACCTGCCCACCAAAGCCCAAGGCAGTGTCAGCTGCTAGATGAGGCTATATGGGTCTAGTCTGTTGGTCTGGGATGTGGGAAGCTAGGTGGTGTGTGTGCTTATGACTCAGGGCATGTGGTATCTATGAATCTGTGTGTTGAATATGTGTCTGTTTGTCTGTCTGTCTTGAGGGGGCGGGGTGGGAGTCTGCATGTGTGTATATTTGTGCATCAAGGCTTGTATATCTGTGGATCTAGGAGTTGTGTGATCTGCATTGCATCTGTACTTGTGTGTGAATCTGAGTATATATCTGAAAGTTGGATTTATCCTTGTGAATCTGGGAATGTGCATATTCTGAGTTGTGTATGCTAGAATTTTGGAACGTGTGCGTGTGATTTGTGTATATGTGTGTTATTTGTACATTCTTGTAAATCTGGGAGAGTCTGACTCCCTGAGTAGTGTGTCTGAATTGGGAAAGTGGTGTGCGAATCTGGGAGTGGGCATATCTGAGCTGTGTGGGCAGTGAGTGGTCTGTGACCGTTCCTTTCTCTTTATCTGTCTGCCCGGCTGTCTTTCTGAGTCTCTCCCTCTCTGGTTGAGGCCCTAAGAGAGAGAGAGAGAGAGAGTGTGTGTGTGTGTGTATAGCATTGAACCTCTCCCACCCCGTCCTTCCCCTCCTCTGCCCTCCCTGGCAGTAACTGGGCAGCCTCCCCGTCTGCCTGCCTGCTGGGAGTTTTGGAAGCTGTGGAGGGAGACAGGCTGGGGCCGGGGTGACAGCGCGTATCCACGGCGATGGCAGCCTGTGATTATGGGAATAAAAGGATTTTAAGGTCATGGGTGTATTTTTTTTCTTCTGTTTTGTTTTCCCCCCCTTTGGTGGAGCTGGTGGCAGCAAAGGGCCAGAGCTGTGTGTCTGCAGGTTGGGAGTCTGTCCCCATACAAGTAAGCATGGGTATGTGGCGCTTTCCCGGGAGCATGAACATGTGTGTACACACGTGAGCAGAGCCTGTGAGTGTGTATGTTCTACGTGTGTTCTGTCTGCCT